GCGATGAGATTGGTTTAGCTGGGAGGAGTGTGTCAGCAGTCGATTTTTTTTTACGGGGACTAGCCCACCCGGGAACAGGTCAACGACCCACAACGGGGCCTTGGGAGGCGAAAAAAATAAGAATAGAAAGAAATTAAAAACAGAAAAGGAAAAGTATATATTAATCTACACTACGAAGATGCCGGAAAACCAACTTTTTAAAGTGAGACAGATTGTATGAGTATGGAAATACAGAAGAAGGCAGAGCATTCCACAGTTTGGCTGTGTTAGGAAAGAAGGATTCACTATAACGGGTTATTCTAGAATCTAGAGTGACCGACATCCCCAGAGACACGGTGGGCACCGCGGGCAAGACGTGTGTTACGAGCCCATGGCCTTGCCGGCGGTACACAGAATGCCAAATCCACCAAACATTGTCCGTTAAAGTACCTGTAAAAGAGAGAGAGTGAAGCAACATTGCGGCGAAGAGAAAGGGAAGAAAGATTGTCAACTAATGGAGGAGAGTTAATAAGACGAAATCCACTTGATTCCATCCTCTCTAACAGGTGGGCAGAAGAAGAGCCACCCAAGATATGAGAGCATTACTCCAAGTTAGGACGAATGAATCCCTTATATACTTGAAGCAACTGCTCAGGAGTGAAGTAACTTTGGCATCTGTACAGCATTCACAACTTTCGGGAGGCAATTTTAGCAATGTTGATGAGGTGTGGTTTCCATGATATATTAGGGGAAATGGTGAGGCCTAGCATATCTATTTTAGAATTTGGCAGAATGCTAGGGTCCTGAATATGATCGGTGGGAGATCATCTAATTTGGAAAGCGTAATTGGTAAATACTGAGTTTTATTACTATTGAATTTAACCAAGTTTCTACCTCCCCATTTGGAGATGCTGCACAGATCTGCACTGATAGATGTAATGATATCAGCTCTAGTTTCAGAGTTAGAGGGAAGGGGTAAATGTGAAGAAGAGTGAAGAGTAGAATCATCAGCGTAAGAATGGATAGAATTCCTGGTAGTGTGAAGTAAATCATTGATAAAAAGAAGGAAGAGAGTAAATGAAAGAACAGAACCCTGTCGGACACCACTATTGGTAGAGAAAGAGAGAGAGATTGACCCCTTGACGACAACTGCCTTGGATCGGTTCTCAAGGAAGCTAGAGATTAGAAAACAAAGTGGGGGAGAGAAACCATAAGAGGGAAGCTTAGAAAGTAAAGACTTGTGCCATACACTGTCAAATGCTTTGGAGATGTCGAGGGCCATTACGAAAGTTTCCCCATAATCCCTAAGAGAGGATGACCAAAGATGGGTGCAGTAGGAGAGCAGATCACCAGCAGATCTCGCCTGGCGAAATCCATACTGGTGATCCGTCAAAAGAGAATGGCGTTCAAGGTGACGGAGAAAATGGGAGTTCAAGATAGTTTCGACAATCTTGGAGAGGGTTGAAGTTAGGACAATGGGGCGATAGTTAGAGGGATTAGAATGGTCACCCTTCTTCGGGATGGGCTAAACCAAGGCATAATTCCAAGAAGAATGAAAAGTTGGGGTTTTAAGGCAAAGGTGAAAGAGGCGAGCAAGCACAGTGGCCAGAGCTTCAGCACACTCCCTCAGAACACGAGGCGGGTTTTCCGTCCGGTCCATGCGCCTTACTCACATCCAACCTGGATAACACACCAGCAACCCTCCTAGTGCAAGGCATGGTCTCTTCAAGTGGATGGAGTGTATTGATTTAGAACTAGAATTAGGGGAAAAATTATGAAAACCTCAAACCCTCCTTCTGTTTTGGGGCATTTTTGAGTTTAGATTGAATTTATCTTTAATAAAAAAAAGTAAAGTTGCTGGTTAAGCCACGCCCATGTTCCAGAGTATTACCCTGTCCGAATAGGAAAGATAGATAGATAATTTCTGTATTTATTCAGTAAAATCGTCATTCAAGTTCTAATTGGTTAAGGATACACATATACAGTACTGAGATACAAACATTGGACAGCCCAAACATACCGCTAACTTCTTTACTACTGGACGCCACTATTTTATTGACTGACAACAGACGACTTTATACAGCTAAGAGAGACCCTCGTATACAAGGGGATAAATGGTAAAGGTCATTATCGTGGACCTTTTTTCTTCATTTTTGTATTCTTTGTTACATCTCCCATAGGTGATTTTATTGTTTACTCACCGAGATGAATCTAAAATGACAAATTTATTAATTATAAAAAAACAAATTAATGTAACTTACTATCGATGAGTTAACTAATTATATCTATGGATGCGTATAAGTTTGCCACTTACTCAAATTGTTTTGTTATTTAACCTATTCGAGAAGCTCCTTTTTCGTTGTATTATCTCCATTGCCTTATACAGACATGTTATAGCAACCCTCTTGTGGTGCTCCTGTTTTTTTCTGCTGATTAATTATTTTTGTTAATATTTCTTGGTCAACCTTTATATGTGAAATCACTTCATGTTGTGTAATTCGCCTCATTTTATGTGTTTTAGTAATATACAAGTACACGTTGCGAAGAAAAGAAGTGTTTAATTGCATGTGCACATATTAGTTAATTATTATAATAAGCATAATCTCTATCTAATCAGTAATATAATAACACCTACCAATGAGATTTGAAGATATTAACTAACTTGTTGTCTGGTCGGTGTCTGAAGTGCAGGTGCAGGTCGCTCTATTACAGTAACGGCAAGAGTAGCCTACAGTATGTGTAGCTTCGAGCCGTAACATGGTGAGGTCGGAGATTCAGTTCTTGGGTAGGTGGAAGGAACGTATTTAGTGGCTGGTGGCCGCCGTAAAGATAGACAGAACCAGTGAACATGACTTCAGTGGAGTCGTATCCAGTATGAACACACTTTACTCAGTATGTACAATGATTTATAATGAACTGTTGTGAATCACTGGGAAGGTTAAGGATTCATTGCAAATACTGTATAATGTATGTGGAAGATGAATATATGATGGACTGTGTGTGGACGTCTGCATGATGCATCGATCGTCTCATGTCGCTTGCCTTACTTGTTTACACAGTTAGCCATATGTTATAACTTTTCCTTCTCTGAGGATTTTGATTCACTAAGTTCAACTCAGGGCAAAAGTTGGAGAGGGATAGAAAGATAAATAAACAGAAACAGACTTTTCTATAATATATTTATTTATTTGTTCATTTACTTATTTATTTTTTATGATACATTATTAATCCACCGAATAATTCAGTTATTATTTTCGGCCAACAAATGTCTACGGTTCCATACTGAACTACAGTGTTCCTGTCAGTCGCTTCCCGTCACTCAACTTGGTCTTTAATCAACTTTAACATTATTACTTTTCCGAAATATTTCCTGAAATTAGTTATAGTTGTTGCTCACAGCGGTACGTGTTATTTTATTTAAATCATTTTTTGACAGGTATATCATGTAATAATTATTAAATTCCTCAAGTTATTTTACACAGATGGCTTTATGAAATATTTTATACATTTATCATCATTTCAGCTTGCCAGAATTAGGTTAAGTTGGGTTTTCTATAATTCTATTAATTTATAAGTATTTTGATGATCTACGTGATCGTCTGTGGCCAGTCATAGTCAGAAGTATCCTCCTCCTCCCACCCCCAAAAAAAAAAAAAATCAATAAAAGTTTTTGTGTGTGTGAAGGTGTGTGTGTGTGTGTGTGTGTGTGTGTGTGTGTGTGTGTGTGTGTGTGAAAACCTTAACTTGAAATTAGTTATGATTCATTTTAAAAAGAAAAAGGTTTGTCTAATCTTTTTTGTTTTCTTATCTAAGAAAAACCATAAGTTTAAATATTATTTCCGTCTTTTAACATAAGAGAGGAAAAAACTTATTTGGGAGTGATTTTTTTTCTTATTTCAATAAAGCAAAGGTTATATTCAGACACTTTATTTATTTAGGAAAAATCTTTATGAGAAGGTATACAAAGAGAGTTAAGGCAGACCTCCAGCTTTGTACGCTGTGCAAGACATCTTCAGGACACTGTGGGGAGCTAAGCCAGGGGTGAATATTGTATACCTTACCATATAACAGTGAAACCATTCTCTTCGCACTTAGCTGGTTCTCGGAGCATAACTTTATTAAATAAATTGTAAAACATTGCTGCGTGCTCAATAAACTCTCGTTATTTATGGATCAGTGTGGATAGAGGGAGGTATGGAAGGAAAAGTGAAGGAACACTGATTGTGGCTGGTGACCTACTGACCTCCGCGTGAGATAGAAGAGCCAGCAAGTGCAATAGAAAGACTCCACTGCTATGTCGTTAAGGGGGGAGAAAACTCGCAAGCCGATGTACTCGAGGCGCTGTATTGTGGTCAGAGAGCACACTACTCTTTGTCTCAATCTTGTCCAATAGCTTGATCTTCCTTCCGTAGTTAGCTGTGTGTGATAGAAAGATGCTTATAGGAAAATTCTAAAACAGACTGCATCTTTCGTTAAGCTGCCTGTCTATCCTCTTCTCACTACGTATGTTTATCTTCTATGAGAATTTCAATTAACTAGTTTATAATCGCTTTGTGCCTCGTGAATTTTCCATGTGATTTTCTATTGCCTAGTATTTGTACTTTCTATTTTACCAATGTAAGTGACATGACAACCAAGAGGCAGTGTGTTGACCATCAGAGCAGCGCCGCGCAGCCTGCAGCAGGAAAAACTCCCGACTGATAAGTAAAACGGCAAATATGATGGGACGCTGCTGACACTGGTAGTACTCTGAGCTCTCTCTCACTCTCTTGCTTCTCTTTCTCTCTCTCTTGCTTCTCTCACTCTCCCTCACTTTTGCTCTCTCTCTCTCTCTCTCTCTCTCTCTCTCTCTCTCTCTCTGTTTCTCTTTCCTTTCTTTCTATCTCTGTTGCTTCTCTTTTTTCTCTCTCTTGATTATCTTTCTCTCTTTCTTGTTTATCTTTCTCTCTCTGTTGTTTATTTGTCTCTCTCTTGCTTATCTTTCTCTCTTATTTCTCTCTCTCTCTCTCTCTCTCTCTCTCTCTCTCTCTCTTGCCTCTCTTTTTTCTCTCTCGCTTGTCTCTCTTTCTCTCTCTCTCTGTCCGTTTCATTTCCCCATCACTACCAGAACAGAGGTGATATCTCAGAACTCTCACATTACCTCCTAGCCCTTTGTTTAACCTCTACTGAGAGAAGCTGCCAATAATTAGCTGAGTTACTTTACATATGTCGCCTCCGCTGATTGGTTAAAGGTGTCGTCTCAGCTAATCTGTTGAACGTCTTTCTCTCTTACATTGATCAGCTGATTTTCCTTAAATTGTCAGTAAAAAGCTTCTTAAGAAGTCTATTGGCCATTTATACTAAGGATTGTCAGCGTTTATCCTTGCAACGCTCAGTGATAATTATCCGAGCTTATCAGTACGGACACGAAGAAAGAGCAGCCTTACGACAATAACACTAAGACAGGCAGCACTTTATGGCGGGAGGTTAAAGCTAAACCCTTAAAGTTGATCACTGGCGATATTCAGAGAGCAACCTCACACATGTTAGCAGTAGCACACACACACACACACACACACACACACACACACACACACACACACACACACACACACACAGAGTATGTCCGTCTCTTAGGCAACAAAATAAGATGACGCTCGTGAACGATCAAGACATGAGCTGTGGTTGAAAGGATCTCTCATGCACTTTAAAAGCTGTACGTCTTGAAGGTCGCGTAATATACTATACATGTGGAAGTGAGGCAGCAGAAGAACTATATTCTGAACTAACACCTTTCAACCCACCTGTTATTGACATCTTGCAGTGGTGAGGCTCACACACAGTTAATGTACTGTACGGTTTGACCGTAAATATGTGAGTTTGACACTTAGTGACCAGTGTCTTCACGACAGTCCTTCTCCCGGGGTTACTTCGTGTGTTTTACGTCATCAGATAATAAGAATGATTCCAACAATTAGCTGTAACACAGCTCTCTTCTCTCTTCGCTGTTACCTTACCTTGTCTTCTCTCAGGCCAAAATTTCCTTCTGTTTCACTTCTCTTCCTCTCAAGGTCGTGTCCTCTCAGAGTTGCTCAGCCTCTATTTCGTTAAGGTTCCTTTCTTAGGCCAGACACCACGACTGAGCGAAAATATTGTTTTATGCTAACATAAACCATCTATGCTGTGAGCTTAAAGTACAGCCGTAGTGTCAAGACACAACAAGATGTACAACAGAAATTTCAACAGGACACATCCGTTGATAACCAGACACTGTTTTGTTGATAAGCTATTGACAGTTGTTAAGCAAAACATGGAATTTATTTTCTGTGAATGGATAGTATTCATTACTGTGTGACAATCTCAAAACAGTGACAGGGTATATATATTTGGCTGAATGATAGGCGAGTGTGCTTAGGGAAAGGCCTTAATAAAGCGGGAAGAGAGACCGTAGGTAAATAAATGGCCATTGTGTCACACAGCAGATCCAGGTATAAGCACGGCGCCGTTATAAGTAATAAAGCTGACTGACAAGGCTCTAATTCTTCTTAAAGTCTAATGAAGGAAACAATAAGATGGTGCATAATGATCACCAAGTGAGTGGATGTGTGTTTGTTTTTCTTTTCAATCAAATATCTCTTAAACAACCCAACGGCGGCAGACAACGTAGGAAGTACACTGGGCTACAGATTCAATAAGTCTTCAATAAATCATTAAGGGTTGGTACATTTAGTGGTTTTTGCACACAATATTTCTTAAAGTCGTTCTATGATTTTTTTTCTTTTAAGTGACAGAGGGTGTTCTCTTACCTCACAAACACACTCTTTACTTAATCTTCCAAATCTACAATAACATGTATTTTGTATCTGAACAATGAGTACATGTTTCACACACTTCCTGCACCAAGAATCACAATGTGTGCTATAGAGAGTTTCCAAATCTATCATGACACAAATATATAACTCTAGCACTCGCTTTTCGTTTCATAGTGTAAAAATGCTTCAGGATACACGTCACAGAGTTTTCCAAATCTTGATTCTGAAACACATGAATAACCTACACTTGTGTTTTTCTGTTGTTGTTTTTCCCAAGAACTGCTAATTATTTTTCATCAATTATCATGTTTTCTCGATTGAAAATTTTTCAAGACAGATAAACCCAAACTTTTACACTTGAATTTCTGAAAGTTTTGAAATATGCGATTCAAGCACTTCATAAAGCTTTGTATTACAAGTAAATACTAATAAAACAAATTATTCAATACCTTGATATAGTTATTTCTTTTTACATTGTCTTATTCAAGGGTTACTAAAATATATTGAGTCCCCCGAGTGCTCCACTAGACAAAAGTTGCAGTTTCTCGGAATTATGTTTTAAGATCACACCAGTCATAATGCTTCCATATTCAGGGCAGCAGAACCTGATGTTAAGACTTACATCAGCTGTGAAATTGTGTATTCCAAGTTAGAATAAAATCATTAACACGAATCTACTTTAAGAAGAAAGAGATGAGAACAACCGTACTTCAGCGGGATATAACATGGTGATGGTATGTTAGTTGGCTGTATCAGGCGAAGAAGAAGACAAGTTCAGATGTAAAGTCCAATGTCCATCTATCAAACGTTTAAGGAAGTTTCTTAATTATATTTAATCTTAGTTGTTTAGACATAAGTAACGTAGAAAAATTATCAAATTTACAAGGAAGTTTAGGACAAGAAGGGCCAATCACTCCTCGAGTATTCCATGAAATAAAGCTGGAGATCTAGTCCTCCTTTGGTTCTAGAAGACAAGAGTAGTCCACCTGGAAGAGCCCGACTTCACTGTCCTTGAAGCCTCCGAAGATGTATTTTCCAGGCCCGTGTGGAGTCTTGCCCAAAAGGAAGTTTGCAAAAGCCATCAGATACACTCGTTCAGTTAGAGGGAAGTCGCCACTCTGTAAACGTAGACCAAACATTATAATGAGTCACGAAAGCTGTCAAATAAAAAAAAAGGAAATAAAACCCGGGTATAAATTTTTTGGGTAACCTAAAATACAACAATCTGGTAAATGGGGCTGAGATATTTAATACTTGTAAACGAACGTAACAATCTCTCACAGACACACACACGTAAGCTGCTTCTAGATCTTGATGTTTGGCTAGAGTAACCCTTAAAGGTCTTTCTCTGTATTGTTCATTTAAATAATATCTAAGTTTTATTATTGAAAGCACGAGGCGACAAGACTTTGGGAGTGAAATAGGTAGAGAGGATGAGATCACATACTGTACAGGTGACCAATTTATCCCTCTATATCCATGATGCGTGTTGAGGAGTTGAGAAGATGTATGAGTAAAGAAGACAGGAAATTGTGAGCGAATAAGCAGACCTGAGTTTTTTTTAATAGCTAATGATACTTTGTTTGCGACTTTGCATAATTCGAACCTCTTCACGACGGGATGCCACTTTTCATATTTTATTTGGCAAACGTCAGAAGATTTCATTCAGCACAGAGAGATCCTTCATACTTAATGGGTAAATACATCAACATATATTTTCGTTAAAAATTGGGATGTGTTATGATAATTATTTTTATCTTGTAGGAATATAATGTAAACACGTCTAAAGAAAACTTCTTTGATTCAGATTAATGATTTCCTGAGTTTTGATATGCAATTCTGTCTGGCTTATGTTTATAATACTTGAAAGTCAATTATACTAATACACCCGCCATAAATGTATTCATAAGTGTTACTAAACTTTAGAATATGTGATGTATTTATAAAGAGACTTAACTGTTTAACTACTACTACTACTACTACTACTAGTACGTGGCCTCCAGCCTCCCCCAATAGCCACACCTTCGCCTCCATTTTATTACCTTAAAATTAAATATCCTAATATATAAGTAGCTATCCTACTACTATTAAACTACTACTATTACTACTACTACTACTGCTGCTGCTTCTACTATTAAATTGCTACTACTACTACCACTACCACCACCATCACTGACCGAGGTGAGGGCCCGATAGGCTTCTTCGGTAATGTTGTCCACCTGGTCTTCTGGGAGCTTGATAAAGAGGGCATAGAAACACCGCAGCTCCTCGTAAGACACAATGCCATCGTCTGTAGAAGAAGAGGGTGTTAGTTCCTACCTGTAAATATGTCTATGTCGTATGGTAGTTTGTATTGGTATAATTATCTAACAGTGCAGCTGGAGATAGTATATTATAGTAGTTAGTTCTTAATACGTATATGTACCTGATTTGTGATGAACGCCTCTCTCTCTCTCTCTCTCTCTCTCTCTCTCTCTCTCTCTCTCTCTCTCTCTCTCTCTCTCTCTCTCTCTCTCTCTCTCTCTCTCAGCAGGATGATGGTGATGATTTAAAAGAGTAAAAATTCTGTTTATCTGACATAATGATGAATTTTTCAATATAATATAATGGACGGAGTTAAGAATGTTATATACATCGTTCCTGTTTTTGGTTCCTTATGATATAATTTCCTATATTCTTCATCCTTTATATTTTCATAGTTTGTTGGTTCTGGCTTTAATATTTGGCCTTCATAAAACATATACTGCTGGCAACTCTTATTGTCATAGTATGTACAAGTTCCTTATTTACCGCCAGTCATGGAAATTTAAATCATCTTTATAGTGTAACAGAGTAGAAGAAAGAATTGTTTCTTCACAAAGAAACCTAAAGAAATCACTATTTTAATCTCATAAGTGCATACATTGTAACATGCCTTTCTACATCAAATAGTTGAACGCGGTTTTATATGCACTTACAGTGATAACCAGGAGAGACGTTCATCTCGTCTTCTCAACAATTGTCCTCCAAAAACCTCACATAAAGACTTTCCATGTGACCTTTAAGGACCTTACCTGTACTGTTGATGGCCTTTAAAGATCTTACCTGTACTGATGATGAGCTTTAAAGACCTTACCTGTCCTATTGATGACCTTGAAGAGGATCTTGGGAAGGATTTGGAGCCAGATAGGGAAGTCGACCATGGCTCTGGCTCCGTGAGTGAGGTTCCCCCACATGTTGAGCCATTGGTACATTTGGACTCGGTCTGGGATTCGGTCTACGTCAAACTCTGCGGACCCAAGAGAGAGTTAAATGGAGCAGAGAGGGACAAGGAGTCGGGACCTGGATTACTCAGAGGGATAATAAATGTTCCGATCACTCGACTGATAAAATTTTCGTTCTTAAGGTCACAGCACTTATATAAATCTGCCTTGTAATAGACTTATCAAGATTCTAGTATAACGAAGTAAAATACAAAAGGAAAGTCAAATCTACTGAAGAAGTAAATGAAAATATCAGAAACTAACCGCTAGAAGAGACAGACAGATGCAGTTACATAAAACAAAAGAAAACATAGACAAAAGAGATGTGATAAATAGTAAACAGATAATAAACACGAGATCAGACAGAGAGAAAGAATAGATAAAGGTAATTTAAAATAATGGACAGGGAAGTTCGGGACCTTGCGCCATCCGTCATCATCTTTACAGCATCAGCGGCTAATAAGAAACCATTAGAACTCCATAATGTGCGCCCAGTGACCAATGAGCGATGCGGCATGCAAGAAATGGACACCTAAAGGAAACATAAGAAGATGATTGGACTGAAGAGTGTACCATCACACTTATGTCTTTATGTGTCTGTTTCTTTAGGCTGGAAAATCGAACAGTTACAAAGAGAAGATAAATGTACGCTGTAAATGTCTGTCCACTATCTAGAAAATATGCTACAGAAAGTAATAAATGAGTCTTAACACTAACTCTTCTTAGAAATGGTTTTAGGCTCAGATTAGATGTGTTTTAGGTATAGTAAGTAGTGTTAGAGCTGACACTTTGCAGGTGAAATCAATGTTGAGCTGACGAACTTACCGAAGCCGTACTCAGGCTCGATCTTGCCTACGTGTTCCAAGAGACACTCGAAGAAGTCAGCGTGGATCTCCTTCATAGTGAGGTAATACTCGTTGTCCTCCGACCATCCCGCATAATGGCGCATCCTCTGTAAATAACGACACAGGAAGTGACCGTACGTTGTCAGGCTCGATCTTGCCTACGTGTTCCAAGAGACACTCGAAGAAGTCAGCGTGGATCTCCTTCATAGTGAGGTAATACTCGTTGTCCTCCGACCATCCCGCATAATGGCGCATCCTCTGTAAATAACGACACAGGATCAGTGACAAGCATGTACAAAAAAAAAAAACGTTGTTTATTATATTTAAGGGAACACAAGGCGGGGTTATGACAAACGGGGGTTGTTTGACAGTGACAATGGTTGAATAAATAATGTGGTTACCGACACGCAAAGGTAAACAAATGGTTGATGATTGACAAACAGATGTAAACATACCACCTCCCTCTCTTCATAACCTCACCTTCTTACCTCACTGTCTCACCTCCTTACTCCACTGCCTCACCTCCCTACCTAACTACCTCACTTCCTTACGTCACCACCTTACCTCCCATCCACCTCACTACCTCACCTCCCCACATCACTACCTCACCTCCCCACCTCTCCACCTCACTACCTCACCTCCCCACCTCACTACCTCACCTCCCCACCTCGCTCCATCCTTCAGTTAGGCGGTGGACCCCATGAGGAGGATGAACACAAAGTTGGTGTCAGATGGTGAGGAAGATTAACGCACACAGAGGAGAAGTTGGAGATGTAATTGAGTCAACGGAGGCAATGAGACGCTCCCTCCGTCCTGTTACCTAGAAGGCTGATGAGAGGGAGGGTGGGAGAGGTAGGGAGGGGGGTCACCAAAGCAGCGTGGAGATCCTAGAAATGTCCCTTGGAGATGTCTCTAGGGCCAGGTGTTGGAGATCCTGAAGACGTTTTGTTTCTCATTATTGTGATATTCTTGGGGGTAAATTTGTTACACACACACACACACACACACACACGTAGCCATCCATTGTAGTACGGTAGAGTCTTACATTCCGAGAAAAGTGGAAGTCATACATCCCAGAGATTAATGCGGGGCCACTTTATCCCGACCCTGTTTTATGGCTCTCTCTCTCTCTCTCTCTCTCTCTCTCTCTCTCTCTCTCTCTCTCTCTCTCTCTCTCTCTCTCTCTCTCTCTCTCTCTCTCTCATCAACCAACATTGCACATTACTTCCTGTCCTTGGAGTTGACAAACGGCTTTAATATCTTGAGATTTATTACCCTATACAACACTGAGCTTGGTGGCTCTCTCTCTCTCTCTCTCTCTCTCTCTCTCTCTCTCTCTCTCTCTCTCCAGGAACTTTGTCAAGTAAAAATAAATCATTATAAACATCTAATGAGGTTATAAATAAATGAATAAATAAATAAATAAAATATAAATAAGTAAATTGTGAAAATGATTATATAAAAAACTAAGAGTATCAACCATGACCATTGATTCTAACCTAAGAGTAAATAAAAAATACCTGGATTAACAAAATGCTAAATTAAAAGTTTATTAGTTGAGGAAAGTAAAAAAAAATGAAACAACCATCAGTAATTTATGAAAGAAAGTTAAATATTTTTTAGTTTGTGTTGTGTGTGTGTGTGTGTGTGTGTGTGTCCATAATTATCATAACACATCAACTCAGTGTCTTTTAAAATATATATAAGTTAAGAGGTAATTATTATGATGGATGACAACAAAGGCTGGGAGTGATTTTAATGTACATTTTACGTTAGTTTGAATATATGTTACAAAAGTGATATAATTGCTTTCAGTTTTTTTTTATTCTATGTTTTTTTTTTTGTAGGTGGATATAGAACGAGTTTATGCGCAGGTACAGGCATAGGAACACACACACACACACACACACACACACACACACACATACACACACACAAATATAACTCTGACCACAGTGCATTACCCCTCTCCTCCTCTTTTTATTTCCTCCCTCTCTCCCTTCCTCCCTCTCTCCCTTCCTCCCTCTCTCCCTTCCTCCCTCTCCATCCCTCCCTCTCCCCTTCTCTCCCTACCACATCCAGCAAGACCAGCCCAATTTCTCTTCCCTGTCGTCGGCACCTCAGAAGCACCAGACAAACACCTTCTCCTCTTCCTCCTTCTACTACCCCTCCTTCTCCACCTCCTCCTCCTCTTCCTTTTCTTCCTCCTTCGCCCTCCTTCCCCTCTGTCCAGTGGTAAGATCCCAACCAATATTTGACTTTCCTTTACACACGTCGACAAGTATCTGACTGGATCTTTTGACGCCCGTGAAGGAGGCTGTTCAAGGCGGCTGACGGTCTGTGTTTCTTCGTTTTGTCGAGTGATATCGTAAGTCATTGTATGTTTTGTCGAGTGATATCGTAAGTCATTGTATGTTTTGTCGAGTGATATCGTAAGTCATTGTATGTTTTGTCGAGTGATATCGTAAGTCATTGTATGTTTTGTCGAGTGATATCGTAAGTCATTGTATGCTTTGTCGAGTGATATCGTAAGTCATTGTATATTATGTTTTGTCGAGTGGTGTTTTGTCGAGTGATATCGTAAGTCCATATGTAGTGCGTTTTGTCGAGTGATATCGTAAGTCATTGTATGTTTTGTCGAGTGATATCGTAAGTCATTGTATGCTTTGTCGAGTGATATCGTAAGTTATTGTATGCTTTGTCGAGTGATATCGTAAGTCATTGTATGCTCTGTCGAGTGATATCGTAAGTCATTGTATGCTTTGTCGAGTGATATCGTAAGTCATTGTATGCTCTATCGAGTGATATCGTAAGTCATTGTATGTTTTGTCGAGTGATATCGTAAGTCATTGTATGCTCTATCGAGTGATATCGTAAGTCATTGTATGCTTTGTCGAGTGATATCGTAAGTCATTGTATGCTCTGTCGAGTGATATCGTAAGTCATTGTATGTTTTGTCGAGTGATATCGTAAGTCATTGTATGCTTTGTCGAGTGATATCGTAAGTCATTGTATGTTTTGTCGAGTGATATCGTAAGTCATTGTATGCTTTGTCGAGTGATATCGTAAGTCATTGTATGTTTTGTCGAGTGATATCGTAAGTCATTGTATGCTTTGTCGAGTGATATCGTAAGTCATTGTATGCTTTGTCGAGTGATATCGTAAGTCATTGTATATTTTGTTTTGTTATTATATATCTAGATAATTGGTTTTCATGTAATCGTTTTGTAATTCGGTGTTTATGATATAAATTTGTGATTATTGCCGCGTAATTAGGAAATATTTATTACTTTTAAATGTATTTATCATTGACATTGGTGTCAATTTTAGTTTCTTCCATTCATTTGCATTATTTATTCATTTTTTTCATTACGTTAAATGGGCTTTTTTATTCATCGAATTATTATTATTATTATTATTATTATTATTATTATTATTATTATTATTATTATTATTATTATTATTATTATTATTATTATCATTATTATCATTATTATTATTATTATTATTATTATTATTATTATTATTTATTATTATTATTATTATTATTATTATTATTATTATTATTATTATTATTATTATTATTATTATTATTATTATTTCTTCTTAATAATTTGGATATCCGTTGTAATACATATAGGATTATTCACGTCATAACATGCTTCATCTAACCATAACCTAACCTAACCTACGTAACACCCAGGAAATAGTATCTCCTAAAATACAGGAATATACTTCTCAAACACCGACGCTTCACCACGCCTTACCTAGACTTCCACCGGCATCCAATCTTGTGGTAAATAAGTTTCCCAAAAGCACATCACGTGAAGCCATACTGTTTTGGACAGTGTTGGGGAAAAAACTCAATGGCTCTCAGAAACCTATTCACTAAAAGATCTTTTTTTTTTAACACTATGCATGGGAAGGAAGGGAGAACATATTGGCATTTTCATTTGTAATTTTTTTTAGATTTATTTTTTCAATTGTTTGGAGAGTCTTGAAAGCTTAAATCACCCAGGAATTTATTTATGCAAGAAATTCCACGTTTACAGAGAAATAATACAATATGATTCCGAGTGTTTTTGTCTTTTTAGTGGGTAATGCGTCCACTTGTTGCTGTTCTTTTATCCATATGTTGATGTTTCCTGTGAGTTTCCTGTGACTTATCATGCCGCTCCTTAAATTATCACATTTATCCTGCCACACGACCTCATTGTAGAGTTTTATCCTTACAAGAATTTATACTCTCGTTCACTTATGTCTTTCTAGATGAATAAACTCGAGTTTGTGATTACAGTAGTTAAAAAGTGAACGTGGGTCCTATACGCATGACTATGTACTAAGCCTTTGACACACCAAGAGGCAGCATGGCCAGTACTGCACTCCAGGGATTATATTATTACTATACTTTCAAAGGCTTTCATAACCAAATTTCACATATAATAAATATCATCTCTTCATGGTGTTTTTTCTCTCTCCATAATGATACACAATGGCTAACGCTTCAGGTAAGATGATACTAATTAATTACCTGGAGTGTAAGTCAGTGTTCCAGTTATTCCTTCTTTACTCTACTTCCTTTTATTCCTGAGTCTTGTCTCTGGTGAATGGTGTGGCTGTGGTGTGGCTGAGAGCAATGTGTTATTAATGATTCAATATAACATAACATTTAGTTTGTTATTCCAAGTACCTGTAGTGTAGTTAATATTCTAGTATGTAATGGTAATTATAAGTGAATAAATAATTAGACAAACAGACAAAGAGAGAGAGAGAGAGAGAGAGAGAGAGAGAGAGAGAGAGAGAGAGAGAGAGAGATAATATTCCCCGTCCATTACACCGCGTAAACCCTGTTATTGTCAGGTACAAAACATGGTAAAATCAAAGTATTGTGAGTGGCGGCCTGAACCAATAAGCCTGTGAAAGTTAATCTTTCAATGGTTGTTAAAAACACAATAGGGGCAGACATACAGACGTGCACATACTATCACAGATTCAGATGGAAAAAATAGAAAAAAATTGAATACCTGTATGTAAAAAAATAATAATAATGTCGGATTTAGTATATTTGATCATGAATTTCCTTATAATTGTTAATTTTCAAGTTTGTTTATGGAAGCATATTATTAAGAGCATGAAAACTGGCTCAGTGTGTAAAGCCCTTGTTGACTCTGAATCAAGAGTTCTGAATGTCACCAGGGAATAATTGTTTTGAAGAAATAATGCTTCTTAAATAAGGTACCTGTACCAACAAAGTCAAT